TCAATCAATTACCAAGAAATAACATGGTTGGACCACAAGTTGCACATCCATTAGTTGGAACTATTGCAGAACATGTTAGTTCTACCCCTTGTATACCCCAAATCTTGCCCGACCTCAAAATAAAGAGTAGAAGACCTCCTATTCAAAGATGGATGAAGTCTAAAAAGCCACTAGGAGAGACTATTAGGCCCCATACTAGGATAGGAAGGATTTTCGGCACAAAAATAAGGTTTCTCGCCTTTTTGGGGACGAGACTGCCGTCTAGAAATCGAGACCGCCGTCTCGAAATCGAGACCGCCGTCTCGAAATCGAGACCACCGTCTCGCCAAACGAGATGGCGGTCTCGCCACCTGCGAATGGCAAGACGGTGGTCTCGCTTTCCCAGACGGCGGTCTCGCCACCTGCGAAGGACGAGACGGCGGTCTCATTTGGCGAGACGGCGGTCTCGACCCTGTCAGACGAGAACGGCGGTCTCGCCACTGTCAGGCGCGAAAACCTATAAATAGGGGCTCCTCCCCTCATTTCCACACACCACACAAATTTTGCTCTCCCTTCTCTCTAAAACCTCTCTCTAGAATCCCTTCGACGCATTTCCGGAGTTTCTGAGTGCCTTTGTGAGCATATTTCGGCGTCTAGAAAAGTTTCCAGCGCTGTGTAGAGTGAAGGGCTGCCACAAAGCACCCTCTTTTTTAAAAGAAATAAAAAGAAAGCTTGCTTCGGAGGTTTAAACTCTCCCTCTCCACTTTTACTGCTTTAATTTTAAATTATGCAATAGATTAGGGCCATGTAGTCATAGTTTTAAATTCCGCAAAATAAAAGGGCAAAAGCGTGTTTTTCCAGTTTATTTATTAACAAAATAGATGGTCTGTCATAGGGAACCCGAAAGGGGCGTCGTAAAGGAACTAACACTTCCTTTACGCGTAACTAACTCCCTTACCCAACTCTGGTTCTAATGACCAAAGTTGGTTTTTCGAAAACCAACGCCTTTTAAACTCCTTTTCCAATGTTTCCGGTAAAAACATCGGTGGCGACTCCACAGAACCCTTCAAAAATTAGTCCTTGGGTTAGCCCGGTTATCGGACAACCCAAGGACGACCTTTCGAAAACCTCGCCCCTAGGTTAGCCCGGTTATCGGACAACCTAAAGGCGTTGTAACCACCCATATCGCGTCGCTCCGACCGCCTCTCTTTTTTTTACGGCGGCGACACCCCTTCAGTACAAAATAAGTCTATAGAAGTCCCTTCTGTTGGACCACACATTGGTCGTACTCCACCACTTGGAGGAAGTTCTAAATCTCTTCCATTAACTTCTCCACCATTAGGACCACAATCACCACGTGAGACACCTTCCCCACAAAGTCTTCAAGCATCAAACCCTCAAACTCAAAGCACATTTGTTTCTCATGATGATCACAATGTATCAGATGTTCAGAGCACTTGTGAGAAACCCATTTTAACACTTGATGGATATGGGTAAATCACTTAAATTTTAACAATGTTATATTTTGTTCATATTCTATGTACAACTTGTACTTTATCACTTTATTTTTGTTGTAGATTTTTGCCTTCATACTTTGCAGCTACTGCCATTGTTGATATTTTCAAAAGCCATTACACTGATGCATGGCCATCATGGAAAAAGGTACCTCAAGATATTCGAGACGTGGTTTAGTGAGTTCATGGTATGTATTTATATTAGTTCTTAACTTTAAAATAAGTTTCAAATATTGAATGTCCTATAACATTTACTTGTTTTTTTTTGTACAGAGAAAATATACTATTTTCCCACCTGATCATAGGTTGGCTAGAAGGAACTTTGAAATGCGAGGTGCCAACATATTGAAAAGTTCACTAAACAAGACACGCATGATCATGAAGAAGCCAAATTGGCTTGCAGAAGATGTATGGGATATCTTATGCCAACATTGGGGATCAAAACAATTCAAAGTAAAAAGTTTGATTGCAAAAGTAAATCGAGCTTCTGATTATGATGGATTTGGAATTTTACTCCATACTGGTGGCTCCATTAGCACTTCTCAACATAGAGAACATTTGGTAAAGTTTGCTTTATACTCCTTTATGCATGTATTGGTCCTATATGTTGTACTTTTGAGCCTATAATGTATATGTGAATTATGGAACCCTGGACTACATTTAGGTGTGGAAAGAATGTACACTAGTTAGTTCAAATTTGATTGCATGGTGTTGTTTATGATGGAATAGAAAAGTAGTTATTACATTACCTATTGTCATGACTTGACAAACTTATTTTCTTTTATGGTGGATATTACACTTCTAAGTTTGTGTTTTTAACCATATTTTAGATAAAGTTGAATGGAAAACCCCCTACCCCATCAGAGTTGTTTCGCAAAACACACAAACGAAAGGATAACACATGGGTGGATCAAAGATCAGCACATGTGGATGTAAGTTCCTTGTTTTTCTTCTTATGTTAATTTCTTAAACAATTGTATCCTTTTTTATGTTTTTATCCAATTTACTACTATTTTATTTTAATGTTTATAGGCAGAGTTCAATCGTGCATGGGAAGAAGCCTCCCAATCAGGATCTATTACAGGAGGCTCTTTGCCTGATGAATTACAGGTTTGGTGTAAAGTTGCTGGAATAAACAAAGGCAAAATATATGGGCTTGGATTTGAGTCAAGCAAAGCAATTGGGAGAAATCTTTGTCACGACTCTACTTCATCATTTGTCTAGCTTATGAGAGAGGAAATTGAACAATTAAAACACAAGTTACAGGAAGTTGAGACTGAAAGGGATGATCTCCGTGAAAGAATGTTAACTAATGAGAGACAAATTCAGAAAAATGATAAAATGTTGCTCCTCTTGATGGAGAAGATGGATGTTTAACCTCCTGAATTGTGAATTGATTCTATTTTGTATATTGTATTTATTTTGTTAGTTTCCGACATTTCCGAATTATAACTCTTATTTTAGTTTATTCTACTTACTTTTAGATTACATTTTCAATATGTAAGAAAGTATTTAATTCATGAATGATGAATTTATTTAGAACAAAATTTGTGGTATTATTTTCATGGTTATCTTAGGTAGTGAAATTTTCATATATTTAATATATAATGTATTTCATATTCCTTAATCTGGTTTATCATTATTTTAAAAATAATATAAAAAATAAAATAAAATTAGTGACCGATATAGTGACCAATTTGGTCATATATATTCATTCGGTCACTAATTCGGTCACTGATTCGGTCACTGATTCGGTCACTAAATCGGTCACTAAATCGGTCACTAAATCAATCACTAAATCGGTCACTAAATTGGTCACTGAATCGGTCACTGAATCGGTGATTGAATCGATCACTGATTCGGTCACTGAATCGGTCACTGATTCGGTCACTGAATCGGTCACTGATTCGGTCATTGAATCAGCCATCGAATCGGTCATCGATTCGGTCATTGATTCGAGCCATCGATTCGGTCATCGATTCGGTCCATCGAATCGAGTCACTAATTCGGTCACTGATTCGGTCACTGAATCGGTCACTAAAATCAGTGACCAAGGAAATAGTGACCGATTGTAGTTGGTCACTATTTCAGTCACTATTTTAATTAGTGACCGAATTTTTGATCACTATTTAGTGTTTTTCTTGCAGTGATCTATGCATTTCTTATATTGTCAACCTTAAGAACTTGATGGCTGTTAATTAGTTGTTTCTGAGTAGGGAAAGCTTAACAATTAACCTATAACAATAAAATTAGATGAATTAACACACTAATACTTAACTACCATTTTATTTATTTACAATTTATTTATATATGGCATTGCACAATCATCTAAGCAACATATGACAGCATAGCGTGACTTCAAAGTTATACCCTTCTCCACTATTTGCTTTTTCTCTTCATAGTACAAAAATAAATTACATAATATGTTTAGAAAGAAAGTTACATAGACCTGAAATTATTAATCATGATTAGAACATTAACGTCTTTTCAAAAAATATGTTATACATGACATTCACAATCTATTAATAGTAGGGGAAAAAATTCCCATACCTTCGGTGTGTAAAAAACATGGTGTTTAGCATAAATAAAATGGTATAAAACGTGAAAATAAAACAAATATATAAACACAAAATTAGCCCAACATAAATCTTTTTGTTTGTATACAGTATGTTCAGGAATTAAAGGAAATTCATCATCACTTTAATACATATTTTAATGTGTTCAATATTTTTAATGAAAGTTATTTATTAAGATGTTTAAATTATTTTAAATAATATTTTATTAAAGGAATTGATATAATAAATGCTTAAATTTTTTATAATTATTTTATTAAATAACTTAAAAAATAAATAAAAATAGATAGAAATGGAGTATTAGTTTTTTAAAATTTATTAAAAAAATTTAATATAATAAAATCAATAATAAATTACTTAAAAATAATATCATATCATAAATCCATATTTTATATCTTTTAAAATAAAAACTTATTGAATATGCAACCATAATAGTTCTACTATTAGTTAATAATTTATATAAAAGAATTAAACATAGTAGAATAACAAATCAATAATCACAAATTTAACCATCAAACTTACAAAAAAAATCAATTCTTTATAAATGATTCAATTTGTTGTATTTGATTTTTTTCATCTCAGGCTAATTTGGGATACAAATGAAAGCTTGAATAGTTAGTAACATTCAAAGAACTTTGAAACGGTCAAGGACCCAACCTCAACTACTAAAAACACTCTCAATGATACAATGGAATCAATTTTTCATGGGGAAATTAAAAACAGAGAATTTCACTCAATTCTATTTTCAACGTTTTAAAATGTTAAATTCATCTTTACCATTTGAGTCTTCATTTACCACAAATTAATATCAAATTCAGAATGTGAGCAACACTTATATGCATTAAATCTCTCAGTAATAAATCATTGCCATTCCAATTCACTTTTGGTTATTTAAAATGAAATTACTAATTCTTGCATTATCAGCAGTTATACAATGAACTTATGTGAGGATGAGACAACAAAAGCACTCTATGCCTTATATCAAATGCCAATTTCTCATGTTCAAAGTAATATTCAAAGTCATGGCACTCAAACTGCACTTGGAGTTAGCTCTACTAATTCTTTACAATATGGCCTAAATCAAAATATGCCTAGTTCTGATATGTGTGAAAGAGGAAGGAAGAAACTTGTTATTAAGGAAAAGGCAATTTCAGGAATAAATAATGACATGCATCGGTTCTCAAATTCAGTGAAGGCTAATGTTCAGGTATCTGAAAAAAAATGTTGTTAAATATACTTTCCCCAAGTCTAAATGTGAAATTAATAGTTTTAGTCAGAAAAGTGCTTTAGGACATGGGCTAACTGGAAAGAAAACTGAGATAAAACCAAGAGATTTTGAGAGTGCAGTACCAAATATGGATGCTCAATGCAGCAGTGAGATAAAGACTATCTCCCTGCAAAACCCGACCCATGATCTTGAGGAAGAAAACAAAGCTAATCATGTAGTCACAGAATGAAGAGTTGTGAAATCGAAAGTTCCCTCATCTGTAGTAGGGGAAGTTAAGAGGGAAGCATTGAGTGTGGGTTCTAGAATTGTAGCTCAGTATCAAAAGGGAAGCATGTCTAATGAGCATCCTGTCAAGGTTTCGAGCAATGGTGATTTGGTCAAGTCAATTATAAATTATGCTAATGTTAGTAATAATGATGCAGCAAATTGTAGTTTTGGAAATTTTGTACCTCATCAGCAACCCACTGTGTCAAGTCCTGTGAGAACCAATTTTAACCAAACTTTTATTAACACCCTGAAAGAAGCTACAAAATTAAAAGAAAGAGTAGATAATTATAAGAACTTTGGGTTTTCCTTTGAAAGCAATGAGACATACTTTCAAGCTAGTTTGAAGTTTCTGCATGGAGCATCTCTTTTAGAAAATTGTCACAATGAAATTAGCAAGCATGGGAAAATGAGTCAAATGCAAATTTTTTCAACTGCAGCCAAACTTTTCAAATGTTGTGCCCATGAATATGAAGCTCGGCAAGAAATGTTTGTTGCTGCTTTGGCATATAAATTCATGGAGGTAGCATACATGAGAGTGGTTTATTGTAAAAATTCTAGTATTAACAGAGATCAACATGAGTTACAATCAACTCTTCAAATGGTTTCTCAAGGTGAATCTCCTTCATCTTCTGCATCTGATGTTGATAACCTATACAATCAGGAAGGAGCAGATAGGGCTACTTTGCCTAGGGGGTACTAATACTCATGCTACTATCAACCAAGTCATATATGCTCAAACTCGTCCAAATTTAATCATCAAAGCAAATTTTAGGATATGTTTAGCAGAAATCCAAGGAAGCCCATGTTTAAGAAAAAGGAGTAAGAAAGATCAAACAAGCTAAGAACTGCAAGTCTCTACAGTAAAAGAAGGAACTACAAAGTTTAAGACCAAGAATTTCAAAGTTCATATGGCAAGAATAATTAGGTGAGGTGCAGTCAATGTTTGCAAATCCAAAGTAAGTTATGTTATAAATTTTGTTCTTGAAAAACATCGAAGAAAAACACTAACAGTATACAAGTTCAAGTCTTCTCCACCAAAAATTGTGTCTAAGCACTGAAAAATTAGAACTAGTTGTGTAGAAAAGAAAAAACAATAAAAATAAAGTATAATAAAATAAAATAAACTGCAACATAAACTTCTTAAAGAATCCCAACCACCAAAACTAATCCAACGAAAGGCAAAACAGAGATCTTGAATCAAAATTTTAAAATGATAATAAAAATAACAATGGCATGGAAGATACATCTTTCCCAGCAAAACTGTTGATAGTTATGACCACCACAGTTGCAGCTATGCTGGCACTATGGTATAACACAAATGGAGCTGAGATCGTTAGGGTTAGGTTCAACCTCACAGAGGCTTAAGTTAGGGTTTGATGTCGCCACAATTTCAAGTCGCTTCAATTCAAGGTTGTCGAGGTTTGGGGTTAGGGTTGGGGTTCGATGTCGCTGTTGGGTTTCAGGTGGGTTTCAGGTTGCCGTCTTAGATTTACTAAAGGCTGGAGGATAGGGGATGGAGAGATGAAGGCGATTAACCTCGAACAAGATAGGATTCAAAGGCTAGATCAGTGTGGAGGATTGGGGATGGAGAGATGAAGGCGATTAACATCGAACAAGGTAGGATTCAAAGGTCGGATCAGTGTGGAGGATTGGGGATGGAGAGATGAAGGCGATTAACCTTGAACAAGGTAGGATTCAAAGGTCGGATTGGTGAATGTGAGCGCGAGATGAAAAATTGGGGCAGATGGAGTGCGGGATGAAAATTTGTTAGGGTAATATTACAGTGAATGAAATAACTAAATTAATTAAAAAAATTAAATTAAATAAAAGAGTGACTCGACATAGTAACTCGAGTTTTTATGACTAAAAATTCAGTTACTAAACTAAAAAATAATAATTTGGTTACTCGATTCGATTCATCGATAGTAACTAAATTTTTTAGTCATCGATTTGGTTACTATTTCGCATTTTTCTAGTAGTGATGATCGATTATTTTTCTCTCGTTCAAGTTATAAATCTATCGATTTAGCAAGGAGACCTGAAACTAATGGGTATTCTCAAGTTCTATTTTCACTCAAGCGATGAAATTATCGCTCGAGCCATAAGTGATTGAAATATGTGGTGACCCAAGTTACATTATGTGGCAAATTGCATTGGACCTTTAGTCTGTGGTCAACTCTCGCTCAAGTGAGAAATCCATCGCTTGAGCAAGTAATTGTATTTAGGTTGGGGTCATTATAATATGCTCAAGTTAGTTCAAATATTTGTTGTCCTATTATAAGATATAAGTTTTTGTATATTACTAATTTTTGGGCCCACAACTATTATATGTTTATATATAATACTTTATAATTTTATTTCTATAAATAAAAAATCATTACTCTAAATTAATCAAGTAAAGAAGAAATTTTATTAATTGAAAAACTCTTAAGTTTCATACATTGGGACATTTCTTAACTAACACAATCTAATGATGCGAAGTAGATGCACGTGCAACATTGGTGCATGTTCTTCTGCTATGACTAGGGGTATGACAATATGAACATTTTTTAATCCAACTTTGATTTTCGGTAGTATCTATCTTAGTTCTTATACGACTTGATTTTGGTCGGCCATTTGAAGTTCTTTTCATTTCTGGATTTGCACACAAAGTAGGTCCTGTGTAAGTTGGCCAATATTTTTCATTTTGCAACAACCCAAATTGTGTTTCGTATACCTTTGAAACTTGTTATAAGGTATACACTAGATGAATGTAGTTGTTGAAGTCATGGTGTGCATGCTTGTATGCAGCAAGAACATGTGAACAAGGCATGTGAAATTTCTGGAATTTCCCATAGTCACACCATAACTCATCAAGGCGAACTGTAAACTTCCCTGTTGGTCGAACTTCACATGGGTTTTGTGTTTCTTTTACTTCAAATTTTGTGGTAGATCTATCAAAAGTTATGACCCTATGCATGTTTGTCTGTGTTTGTGTTTCCTCTAAATTTGAGACCAAAATTTCAGAGTATACATGACCAGCATTGATCATGGAATCTATCTGCCTCCTTCTTTCAATGAAAAATTTGTTGCAACGGGTGTACATTGCGTTGACCATGGAGAAAATAGGTAGATTTCTTGTTTTTTTCAAAACAGAGTTGATATACTCTGCTATGTTGGTCGTCATGTGGCCTCAATGCCATCCGTTGTCCCATGCAAGTGCCCATTTTTCTCTAGGTATCTCATCCAACCATTAGCTGTTTTTATGTCACATTGCCTCAAGATGTTGTAATAATAGTAGAATCGTGGATCAGTCATCACATATGCTACAACAATATTAAAAAAAAACATAGTTAATATAAATATTTATTAGCAATAGTTAAATTATGAATAAATTGTAACAAATTTGAAGCAAAGAAATTACCCATATTTACAACATATTTCCTTAGTGCAGTGTTTTTGAAACATCTCATAAAATTTTGTGCAATGTGTCTAATGCAGTAGACATGCACTGAATTATTTTTTGTCCATCCACTTCCATTTCTCATGTATGCACTTCTAATGGATTCATGTTGGTCTGATATGAGGCATAATCCTTGTTGGGGTGTGACATATCTTTGGAGGTTTTTTAAGAAAAAAAAACAGGCATCACTTGTTTCACCTTCAACCACTGCAAACGCAATGAGGAGGATGTTGTTGTGGTCATCTTGTGCTACTGCAACCAACAAGGTACCTCTATATTTTCCGTACAGAAAAGTTTCGACCACTTGAACAATGGACTTGCAGTGAACAAATCCATCTATGCATGGCCTAAACGTCCAAAACACACGCTTAAACTATTTGAATTTTGTTGAAGGACCTCACCTTGGTAAGCTAGTTGTGACTGCAGTTTGTAGATGAATCGAGGAACAAATTGTTGCATGGCTTGTACCAAACAAGACAAATTCTTATACGAATCCTCCGAATTGTCGTAGATGGTCTCCACTGCCTTTTGTTTGGCCAGCCAGGCCTTCCTGTACGTTATAGTGTAACCCGTCGTTAATTGGATGTGGGTTATGATTGTGGAGATTGGTGTTGACGAATCAACATCAATTATTTGACCAATTGTTTGGGAAATCATTTTATATCCCAACTTGTTGTGGTCTTGGTTGATTAATGACAAAACGCATGTATGGTTTCCTTCAAGCTTCATAATCTCCCAATATTGCTCTCTTGTGCACAATATTGCTCGACATCTCCAATTGCATTGGTTATCAACACATTCAACAACATATCTACTTTGGTTTGAAATTTTCACCTTGTATGTGCAGTGATTGACAATGTGAAAGCGGTTGATAACATCTTGAACTTGTTCTTTTGTTATGAAACATTGTCCAAGAAATAGAGTTCCTGCCGGATAAACAAAAGACTCTCTGTCTAACGTATGACCATACTCTAGGTCTTGTTGTTGAATGTGACTTTCAAAGTTAAGAAAATGTTGTGGTGGGTTGTATGGTTCCATGAATTTTGGTGCATGTATAGGGATATGTGGTTGTTCGTCCTATGAATCATCTTGTTGTTGGCTGAGAATTTCATCTTCATCTTTGTCCTCACTAAAAGGATCAACGACTTCAATTGGGAGGCCAACAATTTCATTCTCTTTGTGGGTAGTTCTTCGTTGATGTTGGTGCAAGGCCCAGTTAGAAGTTGGGTAAAAGGGGTGTAGTCATTATGTGTGGGTATTTCTGGATCAGTGTTTGGGAAAGCTTGGTGGGGTGAGGATGAGATTTCAGGTGAGTGTGTGTTGGGGTATGAAGAAGAAGAAGTTTTAAATGTAACAAAAATTTCAATACCACATAGACTTGAGTTTGAATCATGAACATCGAACATGACCTCCACGTCGTCATCATCTTTCAACTCAACACCAATGAAGTTGTTGATCCCAACTCCGAGTCTAGTTAGGCAGAGAAAATGGATGGTTGCTACATTTTCGTGGGGTTCTTTCTCCAATTTCCTGTGGATCAACTTCTTCAACCTTTGTAGAGAAATTCCTCTCTTTAAATGAACAAGTTCTGCAGTCCCAGTATTGAAAGTAACTCCCTCCATGGGACATGGGTTCATGGAACCATCATAGTGGACAATAGTAGACACTACACCAATTTTAGGAGTGTGGAACAAAAAGAAGACTAAAGGTAAGAAGAAGAAAGAATGTAAAGAGCTTCAGAGATTTAAGAGTGTGCAATGTGAGAACTTCAAATAATGAAAGTGATCTATTTATAATGAAGTCTAATGGTTTGAATCCAAGGCTCCCTCATATGACTTCCGACGTGCACAAAACCCAAGCAAAGTGGGTGGGTGAACATCTCTTTAAATGTTCTTGGATTCTTCTGCTTTTGCCTAACCCAATGCAGGGAATCCAAGATTGGAATCCTGACTTGGGTGGGTGACTCAGCATTGGATTCCTAACTTGTGTGCATAAGAAAGGCATGAGAATCCTGACTTGGGTGGGTGACTTAGCATTGGATTTCTGACTTGTGTGCGTTAGAAATTATATTGGGAGGTGCTGTTTTGGGAAAAAAAATTTAAAAATTATTAATTATGTAAAAAAGTCGCAAAATAATCGATCATAATTTAAAATAATCGATTATTTTAAAATTATAATCAATTAGTTTAGCTTATAATCGATTATAAATAGTTGTAGGTTTCCTCGCTCAAGCGATGAATTTCTCGCTTGAGTGAGAG